CACACACACACACACACACACACACACACACACACACACACACACACACACACACACACACCAAAACCATACTGAAAGAAGGAAACAGAACAAACAGGGCCAAGTGGGATTTCTGTCAAAAATACAGTTTTACCGCCAGACTGATGAAACACCTAGCTAAATGCTAACAGAAGCAAAACAGTAGTTAAAAGCTGATAAAAACAAAACACCAGATGGAAATAGAAACACAGCAAAATGCAAACTGAATACTAAAATTAGTAAAAACAAGCAAAAATTTGGATAAATAAAATAGCAAAACACAAGTTTATATTAAAACGACCAAAAACAGCAGGTAAAACCTGAAAAACAAAACACCATATGGAAATAAAAATGCATAAAAATGCTAACTGAATACTAAAAGTAGCAAAAACAAGCAAATAGTTAAATAAGCAAAAGGTTGGCTAAAACAAATAGCAAAACACAAGCTAACATCAAAATGTTAGCTATGTAAAAGCTAAAAATGGAATTAGCAAAAAACAAAAACCGTAGCTACTGCAAGAGATTATAGAAGTAAAACATGATCAAAAGTAGTAAGTATAAAATGCTGTGAAAAAAACAGCTAAGGTTTAGCTACAAACATATAGCATCAAAAGGCAAACTAAAGCTAAAAACAGCAAAATGCTCAATAAAATCTAAAAACAAAAAAGGCTAGCAAAAAGGTAATAGTAGCAAATAAAAAAGCTAAAAGTGTCAATAAGTTAGCTAGAGGTTAAAAGTAGCCAGATACTGGCAATAATAGCAAAAGGCTACAAAAAAGTAGCAAAATGGTAGCTAAAAGTAGCAAAAAACTAGCTAAAATCAAGCAGTAGAATAATACTAGGTAAAAACAGCAAAAGCATAGTTAAAGGCTAATAGTTAGAGGCTAATACTTAAAAGTTAATAGATAAAGACTAATGGTTAGAGGCTAATATCCATCCATCCATCCATCCATCMATCCATCCATCCATCCATCAACACATTATCTACACCCGCTTATTCCTTTCAGGCAGAGTTGTAAAGTAATTAATAGAATTTTGGGTGTACTTTACTTGAGTAATTATTTTTCAGTGTACTTTTTAC